TTTAATATGCCCTGAAAGTCAGTTTCGCAGAATTTCTGAGTAATTTTTAGTAAGCCCTGGCATGCACAGAACAGATGTAGACTTGGTTCTTGGCAGTGAAGCTTGATTGTAATCAAAGGTCCTCTGGAAAAAAGATTAAAATGTTGTCCTACCAGGTCTCTTAACATACGCCATGGCCTTCAAAAGGTTATCTTGTCCAATTCTAAAGCACTGATGACCAAAACATGTAACAGGTTAATATTTTGCTCATTCCTAAAACATGTTTGCTTCTTGTATCCAAATTTTATATTATTTTTACAGATCTGAGACTGTGGACCCAATTCAGAGTTTATTTTGCCATTATTTTTCATTGTAAACAATGAAACTTGCTTAAAAGTAAACATATATCTGAGGTTAAATTATAGGTAGAAATCAGAACTCAGTCTGCAAAACTCAACACATATAAATGAATTCAGTGCAGAAAAAAGTCTGAGTAACTTAGAAACATCCAAATAAAGCGAGTAAGAAGGGGTTTCTGGGGCCATCTAGTCTGCCCCCGCCTCCAGCTGGCTCCATACATTTAACTCCATTCATGTAACCTCACTTTCTCCCGTGAGGCCGTAACTCATGTCTCCAATTAACTCACACAGCAGTTGGCAATAAAACTAAAGACATTTATTGCTATTTACTGCAAGATTTACGATGCAACAGATAAGCTCTGGCAATGAGCTCCTAGCAGCTCAGTTGCTCCCTCCTTTCTGAACTAAGAGGGAGAAAGTCAAGTGGATCGCAACCTCCTCTCACGCCTTTCTGTCTGTGGGTGGGACAAACTTCTCTCCTGCCGCCGCAATTGGTCTAATCGCCGTAATCTCCTCCTAAGCCGGGCGGATCCTAAATGTCTTGTTACGTCCTCCTGTTCTCCAGGCCTCCGCCCAGCCACTTCCAGGTCAGGAGGTGGGAGCAACTGGCTCAAACACCTCACAGTCTAGAGGAAGGGAAGCTGCCTGCTGCTCAAGCAACTCGGAGCCAGGATGCGGGGAGGCTACTCGCGAGGAAGCCTCAGTCAGGCTGCAGGGGGCCGTTTGGGCCCTGGGCACCAAGTGTAAATCCTCCTATTCCAACGCTTGGCTTTCACCGCGAGCTTCTGGCCCTCTCTCGCGTGCCAACGCCTCTGTCGAGCCATTAGGCACGACACCCCAACATGTGGTTGTCCAGTCTTTCCTTGGACACCCTCACTGATGGGGCCTCCACCACCTCCCTTGGAAGCCCGTTCCATATCCTAGGAGCCCTAACCATCAGGAAGCACTTTCTGCCACCCAACCTGATGTATCTGATTTAGCTGTGAGGATATTTTTGTACACAGGTCTGAACACTAAGGGTTAATTGGTAGATTAAGTAACTGAACCTTACATTGATTGATTGGAAGAGGGAAAACTAATATACTTTTAATTTGTAGCTCCTAGACTGAAGAGCTACGTTTTGGAAATGTTTGGGTGCAGTAATTTTAATATAGCAGAAAATGAAAAGAGGGGAATCAAATATGTATAATAGTAAATATACCTCTTAAGCAAAAAGGATGCAAGGATGACCACCAATTATCCTGGGACACCTGGAAATTACACCAACAATGTTCTGTTCAGTCCCGAAGCCGTGCCTGACTCTTCGCGACCCCATGGGCAACATTCCTCCAGGTTCTCCTGTCCTCCACTTCCCCTGGAGTCCACCCAAGCTCACCCCCACCGCCCCAGTGACTCCATCCAGCCACCTCAACCTCTGCCCTCTGCTTCCCCTACAGACTAAAAATTCACTTTTTTACCCTAAAAAACAGGCATGGTCAACAGGAGCACTCAGAGCCATCACCACAAAAAGAGAAAAAGAGGCTCTGAGCAGACGATCAGCAGTTAGGCTGCAATCTCTCTTTCATCTATTAGCTTCTCACTCTCCAGAAGGCTGTTAAGCAGAAGGCTCTTTGCCTCTTAGAGATAAGACTGAGATGCAGAAGGAATATTTGCTGCTGAGACATTGGGTTACAAGCTTCTACCTGTGCTATCGTTTCTTCTGAATATGCTTCTGAGTGTTGTGTGTGTTTGTGTGTATGCAAAGTGAGGGTGGGGCAAAGATGCCAAAAGTTTCAAGAAACTGGGTGGCCAATTGCATTGCTCTAGGATCGGGACAGACCGCTTTGGAATTCATCCCTCCACGACTCCCATCGTGCTCTGCAAGGCCTGCGAAGTGAGCCAAGCCAAGAGGAAGTCCACTAGCGCTCACAGGCGTCAGGCAACCTGCCCTCTCTGGGCGTAGGGTTCGATTCCTGGCAAGCACCCAGCAAACCTTGGGCACCGGGAACTCTGGGCTGCTGCAAAGTGGACTGGAAGCTGGGAAGCTGGAAATGTGGAACTGGATGTCCTTTCCACATGGAATGGATTCCTCACACATCCACGCTGCTGAGGCACCTCGAAGGAGGGGTGGCGACCTCAGACCCAGGGCCAAATTTGCCCATCTGCAGTTCCCTAGATGGCCACTCTCTTGCCCAGCTTCTCCCTTCCAGCCAACCAAGGATGGTTTGGTGGCTTCTGAGCTTCTGTGCAGTTTCCCACCACCAGGCTAAATGTGTGAAACATTTGCCTCCCCGAAGGCTTAATAACTTACAGGGAGCGTTTTGAGCTACAAAATGCTGGAAGGGTGGTGGTGAGGATGACGATGATGCTGATGATTTTATTACTGCATTGTATACCACCTCACCCTACCCATTCCTATAGCCCATAGGGTTCTCCACATGTTTTGCAGAATAAAACAAGAGTGAAACACCACAAATAAGGAAATCAATGAAAACCAGGTGCACAACAATTGATAACTCCAGGTGATTAAAAGATAGTATATGCCATAAACCAGTATGAATAAAAACAATAGTAAAATCCATCTAGCTAGTAAAACATCTGGTGAATGAAAAGATATTAACCTGGCACCTGAAGGCAAACAATGACTGCACTAGGGGCACCTCCTTGGGGAGTATGTTCCACAGATGGGGTGCCACCACTGAGAAGGCCCTGCCCCTGACTCTCAGCCTCTCGCTTCTTTAGCGGGTGGTTCCCAGAGAAGGACCTCCGTAGAAGATCTTAAGGACTGGGCAGGAACATACAGATAAAGGTGTTCCTTGAGATACCCTGCCTCCAAGCTGTCTGGGGCTTTATATGTTTAAAATACTTTTAGCTGTCTCTCCTTTAGCCTTTCACCAAAAGATGACTCCCTGAGGCTTCTCCAAAACTAAATGTGGCCCTTTGGTGGAAGGAATTTCCCTGCCCCTGTCCTGAAGACTAAAAATGTGATTATAGGATAAGCTTTTATGGACTACAATTCACTAAGCGTCATCCACAGTCCACGCAAACCCACAGCAGGACTGGCCCTATTATTAAGCAGAGTGAAGCAGGCATTTCAGGGGACAGATGCCGGGGGGGGGCAGCAACAGCTTTGACATCCCCCCCACCCGTCATGCGGCTGCCTTTGCGTGCAGATGAGGATCCTGCCCCACCAACGGTGTTTCATGCACCTGCCAGTCCAGTCAGCTTTCATGGGTGGAAGCGGAGGGAGAATCATCTTGGGTTTCTGCTTCAGTCGGCAAATTACTTGGGCTGGCCCTGACACACACGTGTGCGCACAGACATGCACGCACACGGACACATGGAAAGAAATAGTAAATGCTGAGCTCCCGAAATATAACGACAATTGTTTGCAATGTTTTAGTTAAAGCTTAGCTGTATGCAAAAGAAGCAAACAGGAGTGATTCTAGATCATCCGTGTTAACTAACGACTGGCTTCCAAGCGGCCAAAGTTTCTCTCCCTCTGCACCGTCCAGCAGTAGCATGCCAAGCTTTCCAGCAGAATTGTTCCCAGCACCTGTGACAGTGCTGAAGGAGATGCAGCGCAATGGCAGGGCATCCGCTTTGCTTGCAGAAGATCTCACGGAAAACCAGAAAAACTCTTGCCCGAAACTCCCAAAAGCCATTGCTGCCGGTCCATGTTGACAATACTGGGTTGGTTAGATTGAGGGTCCAACCTACTAAAATGCAAGTTCCCATGTTCCGCCTGATTGCTGACTCTTTCTGGGAGATGCTGGAGGTCCAACCAGGGACCTTCTGCAGGCCAAGCCAGTGTCCAGCTCCTGAGCTACAGTATTGCCCTTCCTGGTTTCTCCTTGCAGCTCCCTGCTCCTAAACCGGTGCCCTGGCCCAGGTTCTGCCTAGACACAGGTCTGGAATACAAGAGGGTGGGGAAAAAACACAGCTGGTCAGGGAAACTCGGGCAGGCAGGGGTGCTGCTAAGCATCTCCTCTTGTCCAAGGTTCTCCACCACAAATCAGTGCCTTCCAGCCACGATTTGCCTAAATGTTGCCAGGCTTCAAGATACACAAGGCTTAAAGTGGGTAGAGAGTTACGCACTGGCCCTATTCCCTACTGTATGTAAGCTGCCTTCAGTTCCTCGGAGGGAAAAAGTGAGATATAAATATAATTATTAAATCAAAACATGGAGCATTTAAGAAGAACCAGCATCTTCTATCTCACAGAATATCACTCCACCAGTCTATCAGCTTGGAGACCGCTGAGATGTTTTTCAAACCTTCTCCTTTCTTTGCTATACTGAAGCTTTTACTGGTTACATACTCATTTGGTCCTGTCCTGAATTCTGCTTTAAAAAAAACAAAAAACTATTATAATCATACAAATCTCATTTTGGGGTGCAAGCAGGTAAAGTGGATTAAGCATGCTTTCTTCTTCTCCGGCGGAGGCATCCTCTGCCTTTTTCCAAAGTGGGGGATCTTTCCCCACCTTTCCTGGTGTGGCGGGGTGAAAGGAAGACTCGGCAGGGGAGTGATCTTGGATCTAAAAGGTGGCCCAAAAAGGAAGTTAAGCATCCCTCTCCGTCATGCCAGTCCCCCAATTTCCTCGGCCTAACACCTTTGCAAAAACCACTGGCATGCAATGAACCCCTAAAGAGAGGCTTTCCCAAGAAGACCCTTCCCCTACCTTGGATGCTCCTTTTGAAGAATGCTTTGCAGCCTTCGCAGGACCAAACGCCGTAGTGATACCCTGAGGCATAATCGCTGCACACGGCACAGAAATGGGCATCCCTTTTTGAGACGGGGCTGTTTGTCGTGGGGCTGACACAGTCACTGCTGCTGGGTTTCCTCTTCAGGGTCTCTCTGGGGGCACAGAGAAGACAATTAGCTGCTGCGCAAAGCAAGAGAGTGACACGGGTGCTTCATCTCACAGCCTGCCGTTTGCTTTGTTTCACATCTTCCTGTAGTGCAGAGAACATCCGTGACGCGACAGACATGGAAGGACTCCTGAAATGCAACCAGTTGGTCATGCCGCAGCTTTCAGGGTTAGAGTCTGCACTCGACCAGGGTAAAGCCCAAAGGGGGCTCCAGTCCACCCAAGACGTGTGACCAGAAATCCACAGGGAAGTTTCTAAGTTACACAGGAGTGTTGTTCCTAATGGAAATTCCCTTTACAGTATGATCATAATGTCTTTTTGATGTCAAAGCCCATATGGGTACCACACTTTGTCGCTTATATACAGAGTCAGCCTCTCTTCTTCACGCAGCCCATAGCTAAACTATGGAATCTACTTGCACGGGATGCAGCAACGGCCACCAATTTGGATGGCTTGAAAAGGCTATTGGACAAATGCATGGCAGAGAAAGCTATTGTTAAGGATACGTGGCTACTGGTTCTCTTGGGGATATTAGTATCAAAGGCAGTTTGGCTATGTATGCAGCTGCTGGGGAACATGGGTGAGGGAGTGCTGATGCACTCCCAGCTTGTCTGTCGGTTTCTTGGCTGGCCATGGTGTGATCTGGGCTGGTCTGATCCAGCAGGGTGCTTACATTCTTGGCACTGGGCAGAGTGAAGCTGCAGCTTTAGGCAGGTGCTGGGGGGCAGCAACAGCCCCCCGGTGATTGCTTCTGATCTGCATGGCCATCCCCTGCTGTTAGAAGACACCCAAACTAGCTTGTTGCTTGCAGGTAACATTTAACTGCCCACATGATTCAGTTCTGCATATGAACTCTTTGTCCTTTCAGAATGTTTTTATCAAGCCCTGACCTTTGTACTAAGGTTGCTACAAATGATACCGATGAGTCAGAAATAGTTCCTGAAGAACCTTGAAGGAGAACAGAGGTCTTCAAAGCATCTCTCATTTTCCATGTGTCACATAACAGATCAGGACATACGAATTGTCTTGCTCAAGTGCAGCCATTTGTACAGGTCAAAAAGCACACCTGGAAGCTGTGTGTTGCGGTTGTAGCGCAAGCATGTCCACAAACGTGGCTAAGCAACGTAAGATGGCAGGCGCAGTCCATTTGCTGACCTGCTAGTCAAAAATGGACACAAAAGGGACAGAGAGAAAGTGTTTTGGTCTAAAAGTCTAGAGGTCGTCCTGGGAACAGTGGTGGTCAGAAAAACCTTGGGACGAACCAGGAACAAGTGAGATTAGATCAGTAGGAATAGGCAAGAATAATAAGATCTGATATGATTTCAGGATACACCCTTACAAAGACTGGAACCTTGAACTGGTTTGCCACTGAATTGCCACTCTGAGTCCTGGAAAAGGGGCCACCCCTGCAAGACCCTACTGAAACCCACTTGTTAACGCTCTGGATGGATGGCAATTCTCCTTCTGAATCTTGTGTGTGCGCAGGATCAATTTCTCTCTTTTTTTAAATAAAAATTATTTGCATTTAAAGAAGACTGTGCTCTTCCATTCAAGAAAGTGAGCCAAACTCCAAGAATGAAAGTTTCTCCTGTGGAGTGCAATTTTAGGGATGCAGGCCAGAGCCTGGCTTGCATATTTTGTGATGTCCCCAGACGTGCCACAACTTGCTGGAGCAGCTGAAGGTAGACCTGCTCTCCCTGCAAGGCCAAAGTTTGACAAACAGATCTCTTCCTAACTTTGGAATGAAGCAAGGGGCACAGGAGGAAGAGCTAAATCCAGGGGCAGGAAGCAAGCGACAGACCGTAGAACGTGCCTCTGGGTATCCATTAAATGGAGAGCCTCAGTTAAAAGTGCACGTGTCATTTTTGATAAAGATTCCTTCCCAACTCAAGGAAAGTTTTGTGTAACATATCTTAATACAAAATGCTTCATTTTTAATGGCCTATGCTCATTTAATCAAGGAAAGGGAGGGAATGGCTACACAGAGTTCAGTTTCTTCCCATCTTTGAGCTTTCATTTAAGTTATAATTCATGAATCTACAATACCACAATCATTGTTTCCATGGCAATAAATTAATGTCATGAACACAGCATTAAGACACTGCCACAAAAAATGAAACAGAAGGATAAGCACAACTGCGAAGAGAATTTTGAAGATGAGAAATGACTTATCCTTGTAAAGAAGGAAAGGAAGAGGAGTTTCCTATAAAATCTCTACTCTCATCAAACATTCTGGCTTGTCAAGGAATTTTTAAACACCCCTCTAAACTACCACCTACCTGGACAATATAAACAACCCTCTGTGGTGCCTCCAACTGCCACTTCCAAGGGAGGCTTGGTTGGTGGCAACAAGGGAAAGAGCCTATTCAGTGGTGGCACCCAAGTTTGGAAACAAGCTCCCCAGTGAGGCCTGCTTGGCACCCACCTTACTGTCTTTTCAGCACAAGGTTAAGACTCTTCTCTATGGCATTTAATTGGTTTACTGGGCCTTTGTGAGTTGTTTAAGCAGCTTCAGTCTGGTTTTATCTTGTTGGAATGTTATATGTGCTTTAAATGTGGCTTTAAATTACATATGGAAACTTTTCCCCCCAGTGTATTTATCATGTGGTACATTTTAGATTGTATTTTAATGGTTCGTTGTAAACTACCCAGACAACGTCAGCTATTGGGCAGTATAGAAGTTAGATTAGCAATAATAACAATAATAATAATAGGTGCAAGACCAGAGTCTCCAACCAGGTACCCCCCAGACATCCTGGGACTGCAGCTCCCATCATCCCCATCTATTTGTATTCTGCCTTTCCTCCAGAGAGTGTTGAGTGGTCTGCTCCCTCTCAACCTCTCTCCCTTTTATCCTCATAACAATCCTGTGAGGTAGGCTAGGCTGGGAGCCTCTGATTGGCCACCGAGTCATTCTTCCATCAAAGTGGGGACTTGAACATGGGTCTCTCTTGCCACAGTGCGATGCTCTAACCCAAATGCCACACTTAAAATGTGCATCCGTTCACGGGGTGGGGGGAGGTGTTCAGCCCTTCTTCTCCTGCTGATTTATTTTCCCATCATCACCAAGGCAATGCATCAAGCCCTGTCCAGCCACTGTCACTGGGCTAGCCCGGCGGTCACTTGCCACCATGGGTTTCTTGGGGCCCTACGTGGCTGCCCCATTTGCTGCCCCCCTGCACTAGAACCAGCCCTGCCTTGATTCTTTGCCCTTTCGATGCCATCTTCACTCAAGGACTGAACCAACCTTTCCCCAGGGCCGTGTGTCCTGTGCTGCCAAGGACAATCCCCAATCTTCAGGGCCGTTGAGTCCAAAACTGAGCCCAGCTTGAGAAGAAAGAGAGCAGATGCCTTGAGGTGGCCCATCAGCTGCACGGCGGGTTGCAGTGAGACGGAAGAGATCTTCCCTCCAAGGGGTGATGGTGCTTTCCACAAGTTTACCAATTTCTTCATCTCCAGCACAGAAAGAACTTGAGCCTGGGGGTCACAATGATCCAGCCAAGTATCAAAGAGTCCACAGATGCTCATGGACTCCAGCTGCACAACTGACAACCTTCTGCCACACGTGCAGCACAAACAACGCTGCAGGTCCCATGCACGGAAAAGGGATTCCCCTTGTGCAGCTCCCTCACTTCCTAGTAGGCCCCCACCCAAAATATTTCTACATCTACGCCAGGAAGTTGGGCCCAAGGCCAAGAGAAAGCAGTCTGGAGCCTGGGGCACTGAGCCCAGGGAATCCAGTGGATTCTCACCAGCAGAGCAGACTCCTCACACATCCCTAATTGCATTTTTTAAGTCAAATATGTTGTTGTTGTTAGTCGCAAAGTCATGTCCGACCCATTGTGACCCCATGGACAACATTCCTCCAGGCCTTCCTGTCCTCCACCATCCCCCAGAGTCCACTCAAGCTCACACCAACTGCTTCAGTGACTCCATCCAGCCACCGCAACATCTGCTGTCCTCTTCTTCTTTTGCCATCTATTGTTCCCAGAATTAGGCTCTTCTCCAGGGAGTCCTTTCTTCTCATTCGGTGGCCAAAGTATTTGAGCTTCATCTTCAGCATCTGGCCTTCTAAAGAGCAGTCAGGGTTGATCTCCTCTAGGACTGACCGGTTTGATCGCCTTGCGGTCCAAGGGACTTGCAGGAGTCTCCTCCAGCACCACAATTCAAAGGACTCAATCCTTTGGCGCTCAGTCTTCCTTATGGTCCAACTTTCACAGCCATGCATTGCGACTGGGAAAACCATTGCCTTGACTATACGCACTTTTGTCGGCAGGGTGATGTCTCTGCTTTTTAGTATGCTAAGTCAGACATAGAAGGAAACAAAGCGGATGGGCTTGTCCATAGAGGCAGCAGGCTTTCCGTGCTTTGCTCCTAAAACTCTGGAGTTGAAGTTCTGCGTATTCAGTCATGTCAGCTGAATGAGTGGCCCTCTTCTTTTTTTCTGATAGGCCCCCATCTTAAAAACCTACATGATAAGAAGGCATAAAGCACTCTACAATCCCTGAGGTCCTCTTTTAGGGGATGCATTTCCTCAGGACCATCCCTTGCCTATTACGTTTCTTGAACAGCAACCCAAACTCTGCTGGTTTTCACTGAATGGCTTTTGAACTGTGTCCTTTTCCAGTATCAAGAGCCTCTTTAGCCTGTCAAATTTAGTTCCGTCCCCATGCCCTGCTCTCCCACGTTACCTACAACAGGCAAGGTTCAACCCTGGTTTTCTCCGATAGTGTCATTTCTATAAAATGAAAAGTTCACTGTCATTCAATCAAGCTGAGTTTGGCTGATTTAGGACGCATATTGAAACTAAGGAATTTGCTTTCTCAGTATATACTGATGGGTTTTAAAGGGAATTGGACAAATTCCTGAAGGTAAGGCTCCAAGTTACTAGTCCTGATGGCTGTATGTGCCCTCCAGAGTCAGAGGCAGGGAGTCTTTGCATGCCAGTTGCAGGGGAACATGGGCAGGAAGGGGCTGTGGCACTTTTACCATATTTGTGGGGTTTTCGCAAGGCACCTGGTTGCCACTGGACTGGATGGACCATTGGAATGGTCCCATAGGACCTTCATACACCTTTATTACAATCCCAACAGGGCAAGATAATTATGCAATTGCTCAAAAGAGTGGTGGGCTACCAAAATAAGTATATCAATAATAAGATTTTAGCACAGATTTGACTGGAGTGGGAGTCGGACTTTCAGCAGCCCTCACTGCTCCATACTGGAGGAAACCGCTGGCCCAGAAATCTCATGCAGCCGCACATGCCAGGTGCGCAGAGCAAGGGCTTCCCCGGTGCAAATTAAAAACGAAAAGGGCCCTTTCTTTCTTCCAAGGTGGTGGAGGATGTGTGCCATGGATCCCCAGCCCCACACGCCTTCGGCAACTGGAAAGACCTGTAATGAAGCAACTACAACAGGTGTGCCCTGTTTCCTGGGTCCAGAAGTTTCAGAGCAACCATGTCCTGCCAGTTTTCTCTAAACCAGGCAATGAACAGGGCACTCCTGCAGGGGCCTCTTTGGAAACCCCCGAGCCGAATGGCACCTCTGCTTCCACAGAGGTGGCCAGGTCGGTCCGCACCAGCTGCAAGCAGGAGTGTGGCACCCCAGTTTTTCAAATGCAAGGTGACAGGGCGGCCATTTGTCCTACTTAGCAGAGGACAGTCCTCCACTGGAAGGTGCTTCCTTTTTGAAGATTGAGCCGATCCAAGTCCAAGTTGCAGAAAAAGAGCCAGAAGGAGGGAGAGTCCAGAGGCTTTGAGGTTGCCCATCTCAGGTACCACTGGACAGCCCCCCGAGCAAGCCCAGAGATCACTTTCCTCACTATGAAGATCTGTCTTGATTATGTGTAGGAACAATTTCTAAAACTGCACCTATACACAAACCAGCATGCACACATTTAATGCAAATTAATGCTTTCTTTTGCTTTCTTTTTGCTCCTGGAAAATTAGTTCTTCTTCCATAGCGATGACCCTCTCCCAGACGCCTCTTTATTTTTTTCTCTATACTACCGCAGTGTAAGTGTTTCTTGAACAACTTGCTACTTTTATGGAGCCCTAAATTTTGATCTCTGGTATCTGTTCCTATCTGGGGTGTGACAGAGACATATTTGGAAAGTTGGTCTAGCCCTATCATGGATTCCATTTCTTGGTGACCTTTCAGCAGGGGGCACCCAACTTTTGGGGTTAGCGGGCAATAAAAAGTTGGGAGTGTTGAGAGAGTTGTGGGTACTCTCACAAAATGGCCGCCCTGGTGGGACTTGCCCATTTGCGAAATGGCTGGTTGCAACGCACTATTTTCCTCGAAAGAAAAAACGGAAATCACTCCCAGAAAAAACTCAGTACAGGGCAGAGGTCCGGTCTGAACGCCGTAAGTCCAAACCAGCCTTTTGAACCCTAATAAGTGCAGTGCTGGAGAGAAGCACTTGACTCTGAAGCATGCTAGCCTCCCAGTTAATTAATTGAAAGGAATTAAAGTTAATTGAATCAACAACAACCTTTGAATAAATTGAAATCGGGGGAACAGGGGAGCCAAGAGGGGTATCCATGGGCACAGTGGTGCCCATGAGCGCCATGTTGGAGACTCAGACCCTACGGGGTCTTCCCCAACATTGTGCCCACCAGGTGTGTTCGGCTGCAATCGCTTTCATCCCCCGTCAGCACTGCACACTAGCGTGTGACGCCGTGTGGGGCCAAGGTAAATAGACCGGGGGGTAACAATAAGAGGTTACCTGTGCATAGGCAGGACATGATCCACGGGCCTGGCGTCGCACCACGGGCTTTTGGGCTGCTCTGCGTATAAAACTGATGACTGGCAGTGCAAGGTCAGGGGAGAGATGTGACCGGAACTGGACCACAGCATGTTCGGACTCGCTGGCTGTCGCAGAGGAGCCCCTTCCGAATCACTGAAGTTGCCCGGAAGGTTGTAGTTCACCACGGCGGGGCTGTAGAAGGCCATGGCCGAGTAGTCGTGCCTGTTTTCCATATACGAGGATGAGAGATACACGGGGCTGCGCTCTCTGGTCAAAGCAGACTGGCTGCAGCTGAACGGGATGGGCAGGCCGAGCTCCGGGATGGCGCTTTTGGCTTCTGTTTTGCTACACGCGAGTTCCTGGATCGACGGCAACGGAGTACATTCCTTGTGGGTCGGCGCACACAGAGACATGCTGGAGAGAGAAGGATGCCAAACACCTCTTCTTCAAGCAGTCATCCTGAAAGAGTCAACCTAGAAAAGAAAAATGTTCAGGTTGCAAAGGAGCTCTGTGAAATCCTTGTGCTTAGTCCACACGGATGCTCCGGTGCGTCCACATTAAGGCCATCGCATTCTGTTCCGGGGGACTGGCCTTCGCCACTGCAGCGTTAGCAACGATTTTGCCCAGAGGCTGTCCTAGCATGAGGCAAAGGCGAGGCATCCAACTTAAGTGGCAACATATGGGAGTCAGTAAGCATGCGGTTGTGGGAGGCAGACAGATCGGTGCCTGGGCCGTCATTCCCAGGAAAGCCGTCCACCAAGAGACCTGGGCTGAATCCCTGAGCAATACTTTCAAATAACACCCCAAATTCCAAGTCTCTGCATGGCTACTCAGAGGTAAGCATGCAGAGCAAGCCTGCGCAGAAGTAAGCAGGACACGCCTCCACATGTCTACTCACAAGTAATCATGAGTAGCATGTCAAGGAGGAAGGAGGCCAAAGCCCTGCATGTGCACTCAGAAGCGAGCAGGAGGATCACGCAACCAGCCCCGTTGATCCTCCAGCCACGTTCCCATCTTACATCTGATCAGCAGCTGATCGAAGAGAAGAGCTTTCCCCTGCTGAGCGCTGGGAAAGGGGAACGTTCTTCAGCTGAGCATTGCTGAGTGACTCAGCCCCAGAGATCACATGCGGCTCAGGAGCTGAACCTTCCCCCTGCCTGCACTAAATAGCTAATATTTCGTTGAAGAGAGGGAATATTCAATATGAGCGCCAGCCTCGCTTGTCCCATGGATCGTCCACATGCAACCATGGCCCGAGCAAGCACCAGCTGAGCCTGGCATGCCAGTTCCATCTCCCCTGGACAAAGATATCCTGCCGATAATGTGTGCTAGTGACCTCCAGGTTAGACTTCTGCAGCGATTTGTATGAGGCCCGAGATATTTTGTTGCAGGGCTAAAGGAGAAGATGTCATCTGTATCACGCAAATGGGGCAATATTGCCCACTGGGCCGAAAGCTAAATTGTACTCCAAAACTACCAGCAGGACAGTGTCTTCTGGCCACTATCCTGGCCAGCTTAGGTGGCACCTGGGTAGGTCTTTTGGCAAACAAGGCTCGGTTTCTCGGCACCTTGCCACCATGCCCTGGCCCTGGTGCCTGAGGTCTGGGGTGGCTTCTCATTCTGCTGGATGATAGAACAGGCCTGCAACTGCCCTTGAAGACAAACTGCAGATGTCATTCAAAAAGGCATTTCGTGGTTACCCCCTGGGACCAGCCAATGGGGACATAACTCACCAGCACTTCAGTAGCTTCATTGACTTTTGAACCATTGCTGAGAAAACCCCGGGGGAGATAAAACCCTGTGTGGGTAGAGAGCCCGACACCTGGGGAACGCTTTCTTGCACATTGGCATAGCCATCAGGGCCAGCGCCTGTCAGAGGCAAAGGACGAGAGGTCTCCCCTCCACTCAATCCCATGTACAGAAGCCAAACCAACCAGCAGCAAAATCTTATTTCCGCCCTGGCCACAGAAAATGTTCCTCTCTGGCATGTTTGGAAGGCAGTAAACTGCCTATCATGGAGCCATGGAGGTGGAGGGGGCCAAGAAGGCCACTGCGTCCAACCCGCTGCTGTTGCTGGACACCAACTTATACCATTCCACTCAGATGACCACCCAATTTCACCTTGAATGTCCCTAGTGTGGGAGAGCCCACCACCTCTCTAGGCAGCTGATTCCACCCCTGTATTGCTCTGATAGTGAGGAAGCTTTTCCTGAAGTCCAGCCTGAATCTGGGTTGTCACAACTTGACCTGATTATTCTGTGTCCTACACTCTGGCATCAGCAAGAAGAGATCTTGACCTTCCTCTTTGTGATACCCTTTGAGGTATTTATAGAGGGATATCATGTCCCCCCTCAGTCTTCTCAAGACTGAACATGCCCAGTTCTCTCAGTCTCTCCTCATAGGGTAGTGCTTCCAAACCCTGGATCATTTTTGTTTGTTTATTTACTTATTTATTTAAAGTTTTTATTTGCCGTCTCAATACTAAAAGACTCTGGATGGCTTTCAAAAAAAAACCAAAAAAAACAAAGCAAACCATAACAACAGCAACACACAACCCACTGCATCCAATAAATAATGATAAAAACAAGGATAAAACCAATTAACTGTTAAAATATTGGGGAAATAAAAAGGTCTTTGCCTGATGCCGAAAAGAACAGAGCGACGGCGCCAGGCGAACCTCCCTGGGGAGCGTGTTCCACAGTCGGGGCACCACTGCTGAGAAGGCCCTTCTCTGAGCAGCTACCCTCCCGATTTCCTTCCAAGAGGGCTCCCGGAGAAGGGCCTCTGTCCCCGATCTCAAGGGGCGGACCGACCCTTGTTGCTCTCCTCTGGACCCATTCTAATTTTTCTGCATCTTTCTTAAATCTTGGTGCCCATAACTGGACACAATACTCCAGATGGGGCCTGACGAGTGAGGAGTACTGACTACAGAGGAACTACTGCTTCTTGCGATTTAGAAGCAATACTTCCATTAATGCATCCCAAAATAGCATGTGCCCTTTTTGCAGAGGCATCGCGCTGTTGTCTCATATTTAGCCTGTTGTCCACAATCACTTTGAGTCTTTTTCTTTTTCAGGTCTGTGGAGCCATGTATTCCCCACCTTGTATCAATGCATTTGGTTTCTTAGAAGATGTGGGGCAGACTGTGTGCTGCTCCAAGCGATGCCACCCACCACCTCTGCCCCACACCACGGGAAGGAGGGAACGTAGGAGGCGTCTGACTTAAGGGTCAACCAGACCTTTGTCCAACTGTCAGGAGCCAGAACGAAGACAGTGCGAGACACATCAGGGGCACCAGGACCGGGGCAACAGAGCTCGAGGTAAGACAGGGTCCAAATTCCAGGGGCAAGGTTCAACAACACGCCCAATCCACAGTGGCTTCAGGAGCCAGAAGTAAGTATCAGGGCAGGACAAGGGCAAGCCAGGGCTCAAGAATGGGAAGAAAACAGAGGTACAGGTGCCATGGGACAGGGTAACTGGGCAGGATCCAGAGCAAGGGTTCAGCAAGAGGCAGGAGCTGAACCACAGCAAGCAGGCAAACCTCTGTTGCTGGGGCTACACAGCAAGGCAGGATAGACAGCAACCGATGCAGCAAGGGTGCAGGAGCTGAGCCTCACTGCAGCCTGCAAGGCTGAGAGCTCCAGCTGGGTCTGGGACTGATCCTGTGAAAACTGAGCTGGGCTTCTGACCATCAGCAGAAGCCCCAGAGCAGCCTGGATCCTGACACCATCCAGTTCAGTATTGCAGACACTGGTGGGCAGAAATGCCTGGCAAGGTTGCAAGCTGGAGCCTTTCCAGCTATACCTAGAGGGGCTGGGAATCCTCTGCAGGCATGGTAGATCCTCTGCCCCACACTGGCCACCTCGTTCTGCTTCACAGGAAAACCGGCCTCGCTGCCCCTACACCAAGCTGTTCTGCAGCCTTCCTCCAGATACTGCCTGTGATCAGAAAGGTGGTGCCCAAGAGAAGATGTCTGGGGCTGTGATACTCCCAACAAGGCAACCTGACAGTGAGCCTCGCATCTTTCCAATGCCACTCCTAGGCTGATCCATTTCCCCGGGTCTCTGTAAACTGTAGCTGCATTCGGTTTTGTATTTACTGTGCTTTTGTTGGCATCTGGAAGCGCTAAAGATCCACACAGCTTTCCTCATAACTGTATTTTTAGACTGACAGGTTTAGTTATACGTTTTATTTTTGTGGCCTGGATCTTGCTTGTTTTTCGTGGGGACATTTATTGGTTTCATTCCTTTTTCAAGCTGGCTTGCCAGGGCTCCCAGATGCCTTGGGCTTATCCTGATGTTGCAAATGGCTCTTTCTCTCTCCCCTTCTGGAAGGTCCAGGATGTGGGCAGCAGACAGGTGCAGAAAAGACACCTGGACCGGGGTGCAGATGTGGGGAGGGGGCCTGCACCAGGGCAGAGGGCCAGAGGCAAGAGGCACATCCTAGAACAGTCCAGGGTCAAGAGCCAGTGAGGCAAGAAGGTTCAGACAGGAACACAGCCCGACAGCACTTGGTCCGAGCGTGCAGGCCAAAGAGCAGGTGCCAGGAGGACTGCCAGGTGCGGTCAGGAAGGATGGGTGCAGGCATCTGGGCGGGCAGGCAGGGCCTGGCTGGAGACGAGGGCAGAACAAGGGCAAGCTGGAGCTAGGCGGAAGCCGGGGGGGTGGGGCAGGCGAGAACGAGGCTCCTGGCAAGGCAATGCAGGAAGGCAGAGCACGAGGAAGCCGGCAGGGCAGCCCGAGTCGCCGTGGCGGGAGGGCAGTGCCGCAAAGCCTTTGGGGCTGCCCTCCGGGACCGCCAGCACTGCCCCGCAGCTGCTCCCCGCAAGCGCCTGCAGGGTGCTCCCGGGGTGGATCAGGCTCTGATCCTGACACCCACCCATTGTGAGCACACAGGTGCAAACACGTTCACACCTGTGCTCCTTGCATATGGTTAGAGGAACCAGGAGCGAGGACAGGTATGGCCAGGCACCAGCCAAAGCCTACCAGGTACCCACTGACAGAAGCTCCTGGGACCTGCTGCTTCTCTCCATTGCTGCAATCTGTGGCACCCTCCAGTTCCCTGGCTGTCACCCAAGTGATTGAGGAGAAGATGGGGCGGGACGTGGGCCTGGAGCAGCTGGAGCCAGGGAGGGAGCCCATGGAGGGGGTTGTGCCAGGGCTGCTCAGCAGCCGGGAGCGAGCTGGGAGAGGAAGGGCCATTCCCTTCTCCCCTCCCTCACTGGGACCCTTGCTTGGTCTCCCCTTCCCCATCCAAGACCCCCCTTCCCCCCAAATGCTTGCATATCACCAGGCAGCTGCCTTCCCTGGGCTGCCGCCTCTTCTCTGGATTCACACAACCCAATAAGCCATGAGGCGCATGGTCTGAATCCAGACGGAGCAGTTGACAAACGCATCCCTCTCTCCCCACTGGG